CCACCAAATTGGAATAGTTCCCCTTCGCCAAATGTATGTGTTAAAAGGAGTGCTCTGGCCAGGCTTTTTAGGTATCCATACCAGTTGCTCACATTCAACCTCGTTCCCTGTCAGATTTGGAGTATTTGTAACTAGGAGCTTGAATATATTACTTGTTCATATGAGGGAATGAATCAACAAACAGCAGGAATAAACAGGGGCAGTGAACTACGGCAATGGGTAATGAATTATTTTCTAGTACTGAATAAACGCTACAATACCTGTGCTGAAGCACGAATTCAATCCCCTGGCCAAATATCGAGTGCCAGGATGCAGCCTGCTACGACGAGCAATAAGTGCGACAATGCCTTCCATCTGACCGGAACTCCCAAAACTTCGACACTCTGCAAACCCCTACACAATATTACCCACTAAGACAGCAGTACAAAAACTGCCACAATTCACGACATACCATGAAACCTGTTAAAGATTTTGGAGATGATGATGAATTAAGCGAGAAGAAAAACCTGGAGAAGCGTAACGCAATGATGCGGCAATCCAATGTTCTTGAATGCCATCGAGAACCAACTGTTCCAAACGAACTCTTCGTCGGGCTTGTCCAGCGGCATCCGGCTAGGGAACGGTCTCGTGATGTCCCTTGATTCACAAAAGTAGTGTTTCCCATCAATATCAAGCTCGACCAATTCTTGTACGTTCTTGATCTCCCCCTTCCCCTGAACCTGCGGATTTTGCAGCGAAACCTTGATGCACTGACTCTCCAACACCGTGAAAATGGTTCCTCCACCGGGAAAATTCGGAACACTGGCTGAAAGTTTGGTGGCAACATAAAGTAAACCAGAACCGCCCAAGGCAACGTATCCTAAAATGGCTCTAGCTTGGACGGAGGACTTGCAAAGCCATCGCGATCCGTTGGTAATGAAATCAATTGCCTGGGACTCGGACTTGAAGAGGTCAAGGCCGGACTTCCCATGGTAGCGAAGAGCGCCGGTGGTGGGATCGATGTATATCAGCTGGGTGTCGTTCCTCGAAGACAAGCTCGCAACTATATATACTTCGCCGGATTCAAGTGTCAGAACGACTATGGATGTGTCTCGAGAACTCCGGCCACCGGCTGCGGGTGAAAAGGCCATCGACGGCGATAAATCTTGCCGGACCGATACAAAGAGTTTTGATGAGATTCAACTGAATTGGTCGGATCGGGCACATCTGACTAAGAGACCAGCCAGAAAGAGAGACCTCAGAGAGATGAATTTTCCTCTTTTTATTTTTTTTATTTTTATTATTTCTTTCTTTTTTTATTTTTACAATATTACCTTAAAATATTTTCTATGTCAATTTCTAGAAATTCCTATTCTTAAGAAAAAAATAATTTTTAATAACTTTTTAGGTGATAACTAAATTAAATTAAATAATTAAAATGATATAATTATTAATTTAAAATTTTAATCGTCCCATTTATTTGAGAGAAACAAGATCGACGGCGAAGAAAGGCAAGGCATTCTCTCTTCCACTTCCACCGGCGATCAGAGACATGGAGACGGCGGAGCTGGTTTTTGTCCCGTCGTCAGGAGTGGGCCATCTCGTCTCCACGATCAAGTTCGTCACTCAGTTTCTCGATCGTCACCGTCGATTCAACGCCACCATTCTCGTCATGAAATACCCATTTACGCCGACGCCCACCGATGGAATCTCCGATCCCCCGCCACCTACCGCCGCCGTTTCTCCCGCCACGCCCCGAATTCGAGTCATCCATCTCCCCCTTCCTCCTGATCCTCCTTCGCGCCAGATCTTATCCCAGTCCTTCGAGAAATACTACTCTCTCTACATGGAGAGCTACAAAGCCCTAGTAAAAAATGCCATTAGCGACATTGCCGTCCCGGTCGTTGGCTTGGTTCTTGATCTGTTTTGTTCTTCCATGATCGATGTGGGTAACGAACTAGGCGTCGATTCGTACATCTTCTTCACTTCTGGCGCTGGATTTCTCGGGTCAATGTTTCACATCGAAACCCGCGATCGACAAATCGGTGTCGAATTTGACAAATCGGAGGCTGATTCGATCATTCCGTATTTCGCCCACCCTGTTCCGATGGGGGCTTTGCCTCAGTTTGCGTTTAACGGTGGCGGAGGGTTCAGTTCAATGGCGCTACACGCTCGAAAGTTCAAGGAATCTAAAGGAATCATCGTCAACACCTTTGCGGAACTCGAACCCTATACTTTGAGTTCTCTCTCTGAAGACGGAATCCCTCCGATCTACACGGTGGGGCCGGTGCTGGACCTGGAAAGCGAAAATCGGCCAACTCCAGATGAAAATCAAAGCAAGGAAATTAGAGTTTGGCTCGATAATCAACCGCCGTCGTCGGTGGTGTTCTTGTGCTTCGGTAGTCGGGGATGTTTCACCCCAGCCCAAGTCATGGAAGTAGCAAAAGGGCTGGAAAGTAGCGGAGTGAGGTTCCTCTGGTCTCTGCGCCGGCCACCGCCGCCGCACAAGAAGTTCGAATTACCGTCCGATTACACCGATCTTAACGATGTCTTGCCGGAGGGATTCCAGGAGAGGGTTAAAGGGAAAGGAAGAGTATGTGGGTGGGTTCGACAAGTGGATGTTTTAGCCCACAGAGCCATTGGTGGGTTCGTTTCGCACTGCGGATGGAACTCTGTTTTGGAAAGCATTTGGCACGCCGTGCCGCTCGTGGCTTGGCCGCAGTACGCCGAGCAACAGATAAACGCCTTCGTGCTTGTTAGAGAATTAAAATTAGCGGTGGAGATGAAGATCGATTACCACAGGGACTGTGGATATCTGGTGACTGCCGATCAGATCGAGAAAGCTATTCGATGTTTAATGGCGGACGATGATGCAGCAGGGGAGGAGGTGAGGAAGAGAATGAAAGAAATTAGCCGGAAAAGTAGAAACGCCGTCATTCATGGTGGTTCCTCTTACATTTCATTTCAGAATTTGATTGATACCATGTTGGCTTAATCCGATCCCATGAATCTCTTTGTTTATGGGTCTGCTTTTTCATGAGAATCTATGGAACAAATCTATGGAATAAAGTTAATTACACATATTCTGTTCTTCAAAAAACAGAGGAAATGAAATAAGACCACTGTAAAATGATGATTCTGTGAATCATTGCTTTAGAAATAGAGTTTCATTTGAGATGCAGGATCCTTCTTCTTCTTCTTGAAATGCTTGGTGGCTGCTTTCAGCAGCTTGCTCCATGCCTGAACATTCATGGAATTGGAAGTTAAATTGCAGTGAAGAACATCAAGAACACCAAGAACAATATACCCAGATCTTACTGAAACAGAATCAATACTCAAAACTAAGCACCTTTTTGTTATGTGGGTAGCAAGCAGCAGGTTGCAGAGGTTTGGGGGAGAAATCAGCCGCCAATTTCTTGTTCTTCATCTTCTTCATCTTCCTGTTGCTTTTCGAGATCCCGAAACGGATGCTGACGCCATTGGAGAGAAGCTTCTTCTTGAGGTTGGAGGTAGCTTCCTTCAAGCTGTTCTTCTCCGCCATCGTCTTCTCCGACGCAACCATTTCGGAATCGGAAGGAAGCTTGATGGGGGTAATCAAATCCAAATCCATGGACTGGTAAGGCCGGGGGACCAAAGGGGACCAGATGGTGCTCTGAGAGTAATCAAAATCAAAGGCGGAGTTGTCTGGGAATTTGCAGAGAAGCTCTTTGGACATCAATGGCTCCAAATACTCCACCACTTTGATCAGTCTCTCCTTCTCCTCGTCGTCTTCCCATGACCGCATATTCATTTGGGATCTTCTTCTTCTTCTTCTTCGGAGCTCTGGTTCAGCTGAAAAGCTCGAATCTGTCTTTAATGGTGTGGAGAAATGCAGAGGAAGGGAGAGAGGAGGAAGAAGACAGTGATAAGTTACCGTTGGAATAGCAGAGTGGTTGAATTGGGCATTATGTTGGTCATGTGGTGGTTCCCAGACGTTGGGTTGGTCTGGTATTGGGCCGTTGGGCCCAAATATAACGTGAATTGACGGATTTACCCCTACTTTCACTTTTTCTTTTAAATTATTAAATAATTTGCCTTACCTCGATTTGATTCCCATTGTCGGAATTAAAGAATTGGTGAAAATATATTTAAATAATTGCTACTATTTTTTTAAAAGATTTAATTTTTAATTTCTAAAATTTTCATTTAACAAAAAAGATAATTACAGATTAAATAGGAATTATAAATTATGATGGAGAATGTTCCCAACTATCATTAAGATCAGTTGAAACATAGGGACGATATGTTCTAACCCAGTGGACAAGTCAGTCATGAGAAATTCGAACGTCACGTACAACGTCAGTAGTGTATGTTCGGACCTTAAGTCAGATAAATCTTTTAGAAAATGTAAGCGAGAAAATGCATTTGAAAACGATTTGAAAGAATTGAAGAAAGCAATATTATATGGCTAAAAACAAAGAAAGAAACCCCACGATTTACTGTAGCATATAACTCAGGTATGAAGAATTTACAACTAATCGCGTCTCCTTTACGACTAATCGCATCTCCTGTACTATCGTTTGGGGCGTTCTAGGTCGGTGGGCGTAGACATGATTTTGGTGAAATGGTAAAGGTCTATCTAATATGAAAACATGTAAATGGGGTTTGAGACGGACATGCTATTACACAGCACGCTTTGGACAAGTATGACCGTGACACCTAGTTCCTAGTCATATCTAATTTAAAATTATATTAATTATTTAATTTCAATTAAATTGAAATTTAAAAATTGAATTTTCAACCAAGCGATTGTCGTTAAGCGAGTTTAAAAGAGGCAATAACATCATCGTAACGTATAGATTGGAGGAAGATTTCCAATAATGCGAACTTTGAAAAAGCGGAATCACAGATGCAGATGGGGAGCACAGTCAATCCATCTTTGAGTAGAAAGAAAGCAACATAAAAAGGTAACAAAATCTCCCATTTTCTTCATCTTCCTCGTCTCTCAAGCAAGAATCTATACCCATTATGTTTACAGACCAGCGAAGGTTTACATTTTTCATCTCCTCTGCACTGCACTACAGTCACTATACCACTGTACTGTTGAATTTGAATGACGAACAAATCGTATTTATTCTTTCATGGCTGCCTCTGCTTTCCTGCTAATCCTGTTCGCTTTTCTACCTGGGTTGCCCACCAAGTGTTTGTATAAATGCCGCTTCGAGCTCAAAACATTTGAACAGCTCATTGAGCTATGGAGCGATTGTGGGTTGTCTTTTTTTACATCTCTATTGCCTTTTTACACACTGCCCTGGCTATTCGAAGTGGTAATTGATTGTGTTTTACATTTTCATCTCCTCTGCATTGCACCACACTCACTATATCACTGTGCTGTTGAATTTGATTGATGAACGAATCGTATTTATTCTTTCATGGCTACCTCTGCTTTCTTCCTAATTCTACTCGCTTTTCTACCTGGTTTGCCCACCAAGTGTTTGTATAAATGCCGCTTCGAGCTCAAAACATTTGAACAGCTCATTGAGCTATGGAGCGATTGTGGGTTGTCTTTTTTTTACATCTCTATTGCTTTTTTATCCACTTCCCTGGCTATTCCAAGTGGTATTGATTATGTTTTTACATTTTCAAGCTCTGTTCTTTTGACTGTGGTGTCTGTTTTTATAAGATTTCATGAGACTTCTTTCTTGCAGATGCTGGTAGAAGCTCAACCAGTGAGTTCTTGAAGAAGGTGAAACTTCAAATTCAAGAGGGGATTATTTCAAAACCCCAACTGAAATTCTTGACTGTTAACTCTCCATTTTCATTGCCTCCTTTTGATTCACTTGCACCAATCCCATTGCCTGTAAAGTCTCCTCCTTTCTGTGAAGATGAACCTCCCCAAACTCCTCAGTCACCACCACCACCGCCGCCGCCGCCGTCACCACCTGGGATGATGTATTCCCACGCCCCACCACCGCCACCACCTGGGATGATGTATTCCCGCGCCCCACCACCGCCAGGTTTTCAGCCCAATGTACCTTCCAGAAGCCGAAGCCCTCCACCAGGCCCACCTAGCATCATCCCAATGACCCCTTCCGTCCCCTTAGGCCCATATCCTCCTAAGAACATTTCCAGCCCCACCCCACCAACTGGTCCTCCAAGCCCACCTCACCACTATGGTCCTACCCGACCTAAACATGCTTCTGGGCCACCCAGTCATGGGGGGCTTAGCCAACCAGTGGGGTTCTCTCCGCCACCTGATTCACCTCCTGCAGCACATGGGGGGAAGCCACGGTCGTCTGGTGCAGCATGGTGTGTGGCTAAGCCGTCCGTGGCTGATGCAATAATTCAAGAAGCCATGGATTATGCTTGTGGGTCAGGAGCCGATTGCATGGCCATTCAGCCTAATGGACATTGCTATGAACCTGACACTATTGTGGCACACGCCTCGTATGCTTTCAATAGCTACTGGCAGAAAACCAAGGTCACTGGCGGTACCTGCGATTTTGGAGGAACTGCCATGCTTGTAACAGTGGATCCAAGTGAGTTCATCACTCGCCATCTGTTTTCCAACATGTTCCTTTCAAATTCAACACAACCACTAGTTTAAACTAAACATTTAAAATTTTAAAAAATCCTCAATTACAATTTGAAAAAATCATAATAAGAATGTTTAAGAGGACAACATAAATTTCAAAGAATAAGAACGATATCGCTATCAAACGGGATCTTAATTATAAAAAATCTACTCGCTCCCTTTGATCCAATAACTTAAAGTTTTGTTTTTTTTTTTTTGGCTTGATTGTGGCAGGTTTTGAAGGGTGTAAGTTCGTCCTCGGTTGAGATTAGAGATGGAGACACTCCTACTTCATCATTTTTGATATATTGAATCTATGAAAAAATTTAGCTCTCTCTCAATACTGCTTTCACTTTTCTTAATTATTATTATTATTATTATATGCATTAATGCCAATTTTGGAAACACGGTTCTATGATATTGCCTATTATAAGCTCTCGTAGTTTTACTTTGGTATTCACCAAAAGAGCTCGTACCAATGGAGATAGTATTGTTTGATTACAAACTCATGATTATTTTCTAAATTAGCATATGGAAGACTATCATTCAACAATTTCTTCCATTATTTTATTTATAGTTAGTACGTTTGACAAAAAAAAAATTATTTAAGTCTTGTTTGATAATCAATTAGTTTTTTCACGATTTCTTTTTAGTGATTATTATCTTTATTAAGAAAACGGTTCAACTTCGTAGTCAAGACTCAAAATTATTTATAGTATAATTTAAAATTTTTAAATCAAAATATAATGATTAAAATAATTGTCAACATGATCTATTACATTAAGATTATCCATTAACGAAAATAGTTGTTCCATGTTAGCTAATTAAAAGAAATATCAAGTTTAATTAAGTGTGATGGACAATTATTTTAATAAAATTATATATATATATATATTTAGAATGGAAAAAGGCAAAACATGAAAATTGGGGCCATTTATTATATGAAAAAGAATTGTAATATTAATTGGGCCGGATCGGTATTTCAAGAGAAGCCCAAACTCTCGTGGATCGTCACAAGCCCACTAGCAAAGCGAAGTTTTCTTGAGAAAGAAGCCGGTGCCTTTATAGCTGAACTTACAAATCTGTTCTGTTCAGGACGACATCAGCGATTAGCGCGAGAGAGCGGGCTAGCTGACAAGATTTTTCTTCAATTAGTTGCTGTTTGTGAAATTCGCTTCCAGGTGACGTTCTACTATTTCTCTATTAATTGTTCAATTTGGAATAATGATTCCTCTAGTATTGGGTAGCATCGATATCAAATTTCGAAACAGAGGAACGGATTTAGAAGGAATTACTGGGGAATTTTGTTTTTTTGAAGTTGGCCAGCGTTTACCTACTTCCGGCATAGTGTAGGTAGAGGGAGAGTGAAATTTTTTTGTATGAGTAGTGGTCGGTATGAGTTGAACATGGCAGTGGAATCTTGAAATGGCGTTTGAGTTTTAAGAGACGTGGGATTTTACGATCCATTTCTTTGTTTTGTTTATGATTTGGTACTAAATTTCTAGGTTTTTAAGAGACGTGGAATGCGGTGTTAGTTGGGAAATGAATGTGGAGATTTCCCCGGCATATTATCCTTGTTGGATGGATATCGAATGGATCCCTTGGTTGAAGAACAATCAAATGCATGAATAATATAGTGGGAGTTTTTTGAGCCTTTAGCTTTTCTGTTTATAATTGATTGGAAAAGGGTTTTCTAGAGGTGGGTGTGATCGTTTTGATGGGTATACAAAGCTTTTCTAATTCCTTTATTCGTTTATTTGGCAAAACAAATGCAAATGTAGTTGTTATCTCTAACTCTTATTTAAAAGGTATGAGATTTTATGTGAGATCCCACGTCAGTTGGGGAGGAGAACGGAACATTCCATACAAGGGTCTGGAAACCCCTCCCTAGGAGACGCTTTTTAAAAACCTTGAGTGGAAACCTGAAAGAGAAAGCTCAAAGACAACATTATCTGTTAGCGGTGGGCTTGGGCCGTTACATCTTAGATTCAACTATTTTGAATCTAGAGGTGGGAGAAAATCTAATACATTCTCAACCGAGTCCTCTTTTGGAAATTTCTTTAGTAGTCAATGTGTTCTCAACCGGTACAGTTCACTTTCTGGATTCAACACTTGTTGTAGGTTACAAACTGGGGCATGTCCCTAAAATATTGACCCTTGCGTCTTTATAAGGTGGAGCGAGAGAACTGGACCATTCATTCCTTTTTTTATAAGTTCTTCACTGGAGTATGGACTTGTTAAGCTAGACCACTCATTCCTGTGTCTCTGTAATGTGCACAAATTAATACTGTCGTGCTATCTGTAGTTTTTTTATTCTTCCATTTGGATCATTTTTACTGTATTCAGTTTTGTCCCTATTAGATTCTTAGTTGAAGTTTTCTCTCTAAGAGAGTAGAAATTTGGATCATTAAAGGGGAACAAAAAATTATTCTGTAATATAGAGGGGAGACAAACTGAAATTATGAGCGAGCAGCAACTCTTATGAGCGAGCAGCAACTCATGGGGATTGGAGGAACCAAACTGAAGTTATTTGGGTGTGGGTGAGAGAGAGAGAGAGCGAGATCGAGAGGGAGATTTGCGATGTCTGAAAGTGCTGAAACATATAAAAATATATGAATACATTAAAAAAAAAAATTTGTCCCCATTGTTGTCTGTCAATCCTCCTGCCCTGCCAGATTGTCTATTCTAAATGTCCTGCTCTTTTTGCAACAGAAAACTAAAAATGTCTCGAAGATATGATAGCCGAACAACAATATTCTCTCCAGAAGGTCGTCTTTACCAGGTTGAATATGCAATGGAGGCAATTGGCAACGCAGGTTCTGCGATCGGGATATTGTCCAAAGATGGAGTTGTTTTGGTAGGTGAAAAGAAGGTCACCTCCAAACTCCTGCAGACCTCAACTTCGACGGAGAAGATGTACAAAATTGATGATCATGTTGCATGTGCTGTGGCTGGGATAATGTCTGATGCAAACATATTAATCAACACTGCAAGAGTTCAAGCCCAGCGATATACTTACGCTTACCAAGAGCCGATGCCTGTTGAGCAACTGGTTCAATCCCTTTGTGATACAAAGCAAGGCTACACTCAGTTTGGTGGTTTACGTCCCTTCGGTGTTTCTTTTCTGTTTGCAGGATGGGATAAAAATTATGGCTTTCAATTATACATGAGCGACCCGAGTGGAAACTATGGTGGTTGGAAGGCTGCTGCAATTGGTGCAAACAATCAGGCAGCACAGTCGATGCTGAAACAGGATTACAAGGATGACATCACTAGGGAAGAAGCCATCCAGCTTGCGCTAAAGGTGCTTAGCAAAACCATGGACAGCACAAGTCTTACTTCAGATAAGCTTGAATTGGCTGAGGTTTTCCTTTCACCTTCTGGAAATGTGAAGTATCAAGTTTGCTCACCCGAGTCAGTGAGCAAGTTATTGGTGAAGTCTGGTTTGACTCAACCGGCTGCTGAGGCTTCCTAAACATGTCTTAGATGTTGAATTACTTCGTCGTGTTTGGTCTGGCATATTTCATGATCTTCATATGACTTGAAGTGACCGCTGGTGTTTGGATGTGTTGTTAGGTTGTTGAGTTTATCTTTAAGTTGCACTTTATGAAGTTTATATGTAACCGTGTTAGAAACACCGTCATTCACTTTACTGTGTGCTACTATCAAGTCATGTTATTACATTGCAATTATTTGTTCCTTTTTATTTGATGGACACCGAAAATTGGTCTTATCCTTACATGACATATACTGTCATTTAGATTACTGATACGCCTATGGCGGTCGTTACTACATTCCCCCTCTCTCTCTCTTCAAGATAGGAAAGGGTTCCATGGCATGAGCCTCCTTTTCTCTTGTGAATTTGAGGGAGCTTCCCAAGCCCATCCCTAACCGATATTGTTTTCTTTGGGCTTTTCCTTTTAGGTTTTCCCTCAAGGTTTCTAAAACGTGTCTAGGGAGAGGTTTTCACACCCTTACAAAGAATGTTTCGTTTTTCTCCCCAACTAATATGGGATCTCACAGAAGCGGCCGCAGTCCCTCTGTGACCTGGAAAAAGAGAACGACAGAATAAAGAGAGAGGGGGAAGATAAATCATGTGGACAGATAATTCTCTGTGGCCGGAAGTTATAAAGGTAAATTCTCTCAGGCTCACTGCCTTAATGTATGCGACAGAGAATGGCAAGTCAAGGGATGAGAGAGCAGTTGGATTATTTCCTTCTCACTATCAATCAAGTATGATTAAAATTCCAAAACTGAAGCATTACATTTCTACATTTCTCTGTGGTATTGCTGATTTCTACTCTGTTCTTGAGATTTCATTGTTTTAGTTTCAGCACATGCAAGTCTGCCCATTTGCATCTCAGTCAGAGCATGATGAGGCCAGCCGTGGGATCTACACTACCAACACATTCATCCATTATACTCTGATCTCAGGTATGAAAAAACTAGCAAATGTTTCTGAATATATAAATTAGTGGAGCATATTTTAACATGCCGGTTTGCATCTCTGTTTCAATATGATATTGTTTGTTTTGGATCTAAGATAACTGATCTAAACAAAACTATTGTTCTTGTTTATCAATTTAATGTGAGATTTTGCTAGTATACTCCTAGAATCTACACAAACTGTCTCAACCTTATCATACCATGCTTGTTTGCATTCTAGATAGTTGTTTAGCCACTAGAAATGAACGTAGAACTTTGGTCGTACTCGTTGTTTGTTAGTTGATACTGCGGGCATCATGGCGATATGAAAAGGGTAACTAAATTTAGATTAAAAAGGGAGAAAAAAAAACTTCACGGATATCATATGTAAATTATAAATGATATGTACCCATGCTTGCAGCCATGTGCAGTAGCCTATGGCACTGTGCTGTCAAGGTTTAGGCCTCCTTTTGTCTTTATTTATCCTTGTGCGTTGCCAATGTTCTATGTCTATTGATTTGTCTGACAACTTTGTTTTGATTAACATATTTGCAAAGACCAGCTTCCCTCAACAGATCTTCCTTTTCTATGGAAGATCCACTCGGATCTTTGTCATTACATGCCTACAGTCTTGTATCACTCTGCTTTATTTAATTGATACTATGCCTTTTAAATATTGTTTAACATTAGAAACCATTTTTCTATTTGAAGTTAAGAATAGATTATTATGTGTCAGTTTCTAGTGCATTGTTGGTTAACTTAAAGTCCGCCACTTGTTTTTTTATTTAGCTTAGCTCCATCGATCAATGTTCTATAAGATCTATAGTTCTATCTTACACTTGAAAGCCTTCGGGGACAAAACCGTTTGAAGAAGAAAATCGTAAGAGCCCCAACTCACTGTTAGCAAATATTGTTCTTTAGGCTTTCTCTTCAAGGACTTCCCTTCAAGGTTTTAAAACGCGTCTCTTAAGGAGAGATTTTCACACACTTACAACAAATGTTTCATTTCCCTCTCTAACCAATGTGAGATCTCACAATCCACCCTTTTTGGGGGCCCAACGTTTTCTTTGGTACACTGTTCGGTATATGACTCTATACCATTTGTAGCAACCCAAGTCACTACTAGCACATATTGTCTTTTTTGGGCTTTCCCTTCAAGGACTTCCCCTTAAGGTTTTAAAATATGTCTGCTAGAGAGAAGTTTTCACACCCTTATAACCAATGTTTCATTCCCCACTCCAATCAATGTAGGATCTCACACAAATAATTTCATTTTTTTTAAGAACAGGAAATTCTTTCATGCAAACATGATTTTAACGATAAAATCATCTGAAGTATGAATAAGATGATCGATGATCTGGTTTTTCATGCGTTTGAATGAAGTATGGATTGGAGATTATCTTACTTGAATCGCCATTGATGTTTCTATTTCATTTATGGATTTAGGAATATAAACTCGAGATACTTTTCTCTCGTAAAAAACTGTCAGTCATATTGTGGTGGTGGAGCCTTACCGAACGATCCCTAGTTGGTCAAGGGTGCTCCCATTCTCACTCCTAATAGGTGGAAGAGGCAAAGAAAGATGAAGCAATGAAGTGTAAGTGATAAGTGACATCTCTTTCACAACTTTAGTTCGTGTGTTTTATTTGTATATAGGCATAGCCCATAGTGGACCTGATGTTCATATAAACTACTCATTTCTTTTGGTTCAAATACCACACTTTTAATATATACATACAAACATTTCAAATCCTCTCTCTCTCTCTCTCTCAAAATCTCTCCCCCGTTCCCAAATCCTTCTTCCTCTGCTCCAATGGCCGACACTCCCTTTTCTCTCTCCTTCCTCCTCCTCCTCCTCCTTTCTCTCTCTCCTCTTTCCCTTCAATTCCAGGCCAACATGGCCGCCGCCGACCTCCAAGCTCTAAAGGCCATTAGAAACAGTCTCACCGATATCCCCCTCCGTCGGAGCCCTTCCGGTGCTGGATTCTTCTCCACCTGGGACTTCTCTTCCTCAGATCCCTGTTCATTCACCGGCGTCGTCTGCGATCTCGGCCGAGTCACAATTCTCTCCCTAGGCACCGGCCGCTCAGACTCGCCTGGACTTGCCGGCTCCCTCCCACCTGCCATTTCCGACCTCTCTGAGCTCACCCAACTCATCCTCTTCCCTGGCATTGTCACTGGTCCGATCCCACCGCAACTGGGTCGTCTTCGTAACCTCCGTGTCCTCTCTTTGACTAACAATCGTCTCACCGGCGCAATTCCAGCCACCCTCTCCGCTCTCCTCCACCTCCACACTCTTGACATTAGCCATAACCAGCTCGCCGGTATCATTCCGCCGACACTCACTAAGCTCCCCGAACTCAAAATCCTGATTCTGTCGTCGAACCAATTCTCCGGCGAAATCCCAGCCGACATTTCGTCCCCTCTCCTCCACCTGGACTTGAAATCCAACAAATTAAACGGTACTCTCCCGGCGTTGCCGTCGTCTATCCGGTACCTGTCACTTTCAGAGAACTCGCTGTGGGGCCCTCTTCGCAACGGACTTGATTCTCTATCGGAATTAGTGTATCTCGACTTGAGCGTGAACCGATTCAATGGGCCCATCCCTTTCTCTCTCTTCTCACACCCTTCTCTCTCCTCTCTCCTCCTCCAACGGAACTCTTTCTCCGGAGTGGTCCCACCGCCGTCGTCCGATTCCACAATCCCGGTGATGTTTGGCGCCGGATCCGTTGTCGATTTGAGCCACAACAATCTGACCGGAGAGATGCCGGCAATTTTCGCCGGTGCCGAGACGCTGTTCCTGAACAACAACCGCTTCACCGGACCAGTGCCGGCAGAGTACGTGAAAAGCGTCAGCAGCGGCAGCACCACCACTCTATATTTACAGCACAATTTCATATCCGAGTTTCCACTGGAACCCGGTACCGTATTGCCGGACACAGCTGCGCTTTGTTTGTCTTATAATTGCATGGATCCGCCGGCGACCGTCCAGTCTTGCCCTGCCAGCGCCGGCGCGCCACTGTCTAGGCCGCCATGGCAGTGTCCTCAGCTAAAAAGTCCATGAATTTAGCTACAACAGATTATAGAATACAGAAATTTTGCTTCTTTTTCTTTTCTTTTTCTTTTGGGCTTTCTGGGTTATGGTGATTTTCTTTTTCAAGTGGGATCATATGTAATTGTTTTGCTATATTGAATCAAATGAAGATGAACAGTTTATTTTGTCGGTTCAGATCAGACGAAACATGGGAGTTCACTAATCCAAAATTTCACAAACTCAAAAATCTTTGTTTCTTCACATTTATTTTTCTTCAGCTTCAAAACTTTAACTTCAAAGTCAAGCTTTTGAAGTATAACAATTACGACCAAAGTATGCTCTCTTTGATCCTTAAATTATCAACTTTTGAGACTTATCCATTGAACTGTACTCGAATTAACGAATACAAAATTTATTCTGAGCGAGCATCACAAATCATACCATTGTCACCCACTTTCCTCATTTCGTTTTTGAATGACTTTGATGAATGTCATCTGCTCACAAATCATACCATTGTCACCCACTTTCTTCATTTCGTTTTTGAATGACCTTGATGAATGTTTCATCATATTTAGTGTGTTTTTTTGTGTTGGAGTTTAACCGATAAAATCAGATGTTCGAAGCTACTCTGAATGAGATTACCTATTTTGGAAAAGTGGAAAAGTAAGAGAGAGGGAATGAATAAATGGAGGTGAGGAGAGAAGTGTGAGAAAGAAGGAGACAAAATGTAATAAAAGAGGGGAAGTTTGTCACGCACCCAACCGACGCTGCCGTCGCCACCACCAATACCTGTCCGCTCTTTTGTACCGTTGCCTTTCTCCCTTTCCCTTTCCCTTTCGCCTACGCTCTACACAGACAAACAGAGCATTGTTAGTATAAGTTTCATTTTTAGGCTATGCTTTGTGAGACTCTGTCTTTTATGTGCAATGGATGGCCAAGATTTGGTGTATGCACCAGATGTTCCCATGTTCTGATGTTAATAAGCAAACTAAATAATTGTGTAGCATTCAATAATGTCATGGAAGGGCAGTGTAGAACATCAAAAGGATCCAAGGACCATTATTGAGGAAAGAGAGAGATTGAAGGAAACAAACTACATAATAAAGGCATATAAGGAGTTAAGAATCACAAACAAACAAACTGCATTGGCATTAGATAAGGATTCAAATAACAAACCCAGCCTTCCTCATCTCATCTATCTTGCTCTATAGTTGTATTCGTATTTGTGAGATCTTATATTGGTTGGAGAGAGGAACGAAACATTCTTTATAAGGGTGTGGAAATCTCTCTTTAGCATCACGTTTTAAAAACCTTGAGAGGAAGCCCGAAAGGAAAAACTCAAAGAGGACTGTATCTATTAGCGGTGGGTTTGGAAACCCTTCCCTAGCTGACGCGTTTTAAAAACTTTGAGAGAAAGTCCGGAAGTAAAAGTCCAAAGAGGATATTATCTGCTAGCCGTGAGCTTGGAAGCCTCTCCCTAGCAGACGCGTTTTAAAAATCTTAAAGAGAAGTCCAAAAAGAAAAGTCTAAAAAGTACAATATTTGCTAATTTGCCAGAGGTAGGCTTGAGTTGTTACACTAACCAAATCCGACCACGAAAGGGATAATAGCATTGCATGGTAGGGACAGAAGGAATGTAAAGAGAAAAGACACTGCAACACAGAAATCCAGGTAATACTTGAAACGCACAAAATAATGAAAGTGAGAAACAGATAAGGCAGGAAATGCAGACCCCTGAGAGCTTCAACAAATGACCATCCCACTTAGCTTTTGATGCACATAAAAGGCCTTGGCCTTGGCTTTGGGCACCCACTCACTGACACCAATCCTAAAAGTTGGTTCTTTAAGCACAATCTTATTCCTCATTCTCCCTCAGTGTTTGTGCTTCTCATCTCTATCTCACAAGGTTTGGTCTACATCTTTGAATCTACGAAAGATGTGCACTTTTTGTAGCCTTTTTGGTTGCTGAATAAATAATCAAGAGGACCACACTGACCTGTCTGCCTCAAAAGCTTACCCCCATGGTGCCCCCTTGGTGTGCCTCTCTAGCCATGGAACCACATGTTGGGGAAGCCTACAAAACTAAACAGTGCAATCTTCATCAAATAATTGAAAGAGTCAAAGAAACCTCCATGAATAGAGATGTATCATGTTTTAACTTCAAATGTAAAACGTAAAATGATGCCAATAATGTAGAATTTAAGTATTTTTCTACTTTGGTCAGGTGAAGATTTGGTTGGTGGCATGATTTTTGACGATTTATGCATTTTCTGGAGGATCTCTCTCGTGTTAGGATGATTTGAGTTGGACTCTTAAGTGAGTGAAAAGAAAGAATGTATCGCCGTCAGCTTTATAGTTCTAAAACGCGCATGTTAGGAAGAGGTTTCCACACCCTTATAAGGAATGCTTCGATTTCCTCTCCAACCAATGTGGGATCTCACAATCCACCTCCTTGGAGACTCAGCGTCCTCATTGACACACCACTCAGTGTTTGGCTTTGATATCATTTGTAACAATCCAAACCCACCGCTAGCAGATATTGTCCATTTTGACTCGTACGTATTGTCATCAGCCTCACAATTTTAAAATGGGTCTGTTAGGGAGATTCTTCATTCTCCTCTCCAACCGAGAATCCTTAGCATTTCTCCACCTGAACAATTTACTCTCAGCTATGGATCTTTTAGAGACATGTTTAAAGAAAGGAAAGGAAGGCAGAGTGATGCAAAGGCAAGAATTTTACCAAACAAGTTAATGATCATTTCAAATTCTAAATTCTGAATGAAAAAATGATTGAACTGTGAAAGTGACTTGAACTTCCTGCCTAACTGACAGAAGGAAACGACAGCAAAATGTAGAGAGCACCTAAATAGTTCGGTATCAAAGTCTACATGCATAATAGAAGTAGATGATCGATGGCTACCTGTAATAGCTGCGTTGAAGAGGAACCACCACGGGACAAACCTACATCCCAATGGCCCGAGGCCTAGCAGCATGGAAGATTCAAACAAGATCTTAAAATTTTAAGCCCAACCAAAGAACATTACAAAGTAAAATGAGCTAACTGGCTCAGATTGTTCTTGCTGTAAGATCCTGCATGTAGATGTAGGGTTTATCTTTGACATATGGGATGCCCAACACGTTTCAAGCAATTCGGGAATGAGTCGATTGGAGAGGGGAATGAGTGTCAACGATAACACTGGATGTGCCCAAGCCCACCGCTAGCAGATATTGTCCTCTTTGAAATTTCCCTTTTGAGTTTTCCGTCTGTTAGGGAAAGGTTTCCATACCTTATTAAGGATGTTTCGTTCTCCTCCCCAACCGACGTGGGATATCACGTTGAATCTCAATAAGGGGTGGATTGGGATACAACCTCCCTCTAGTAGACGTGCTTTAAAAACCTTACGAAGAAGCTCAAATAGGACAATATATACTAGTGGTAGGCTCGGGCTATTACACCTAATCTTCTATGTACTATGTACGTAATGATATCACTAAAACGATCATCTTACTCTATACATCCTCCAGAATCTGCTTGTTCTACACTCTTAGATCGTCCCATTAGGAGCAATAATCATAAAAACAGAGTCACACTTCGAGCTAATATAAGTGAATCAAGTATAGAACAGACAAAGAAACAAAGGGTTTCAATAGTAAAATGAATTGAAAATACATATCAAGTTGAGATACTGACCAGGTGAAGCGAGTTGAGCGCAGCGGAATGCAGACCCCCAAGAGCAATGCAACGAACACCCTCTAAGCGACGACTCAAAGCGGGTACAAAAACAGGGTTCTCATAGCCCAAACCGAGACGGCCGCCAAGCCGACGTCAAACGAACCGCCGTTCCCGCGGATTTCTTCAATACCGCCACCGAGATGGGCGGAGGAACCTCTGCCGCTGCACAGAATCCGGTTACCTTTCTTCCAGATCTATGGTAACCTCGCCGTGGGGCCCTCTTCAATTTTAAATAAATTACTTTCACTGGGAGCAATTCTGAGGCATTTCCTTCACCGTTTCCCTTTCTCTCTTCCAATGGTTTCACCTTCACAACGACTCGCTCAACTCTCTGTGTTAAACTCCATCTTTTCTTCATCATCTTCTTCGATTCCTCTTCGTCTTCCTTCTTCTTCATTCTCTTTCTCCACTTCCCCTAAACAATCCTCTGCTCTTCCGCACAGGCTCAGCCATAGAGATTGGTTGTCTCCTAATGAAGTCATCAAAATCATCCAACAAATCAGAGATCCTCCCGCTGTGCTCGCGTTCATCCACCAATGGTCCAATCGCAAGGACTACAAACCCAACAAAGAAATCTACACTCTGGTTGTGTCCAGGCTTGCGGAGGGGTGTTTGTTTGATGATATTGAAACAGTGATGCTGAGAATAAAATCCGAAAGGAATTTTCGGTTGTCCGATGAATTTTTCTACCACGTTATCAAGATTTATGGCAATGTTGCTGGGCGTATAGGTAAAGCGATTGAAACCCTTTTCGATATGCCTAATTATAACTGCTGGCCGAGTGTTAAAACCTTTAATTTTGTGCTTAATTTGCTTGTTTCGGCGAAGATGTTTGACGTTGTTCATGAGGTGTATATGGGTGCTCCTAAGTTGGGGATTGAGATTGATGCTTGTTGTCTTAATATACTCATCAAAGGGTTGTGCGAGAGTGGGAATTTGAATGCTGCACTCAAGGTGTTCGATGAATTTCCTCAACAAAAGTGTAGGCCAAATGTGAGAACATTCTCAACGCTTATGCATGCATTGTGCGACAATGGTGAACTAGAGAGAGCATCTGAGCTTTTCTCTAGAATGGAAAACGAAGGTGTTTGTCCAGATACTATAACGTTTAACATATTGATTTCGGGTCTTAGAAAGCAGAAGAGGATTGAAGAGGCCATAGAACTTTTGGATAGAATGAAGCTCAAAGGCTGCTACCCCAATGCAGGGACTTATCAAGAGGTTTTGTATGGCCTGCTCGACTCGGGTAGGTTGATCGAGGCGAGGGATTGTATGCGTCGAATGATTTTGGATCGTATGGACCCAAGCTTTGTTTCTTACAAGAAATTGTTGTCTGGGTTATGCAAGAAGAATTTGACTGAGGATGTGGATTGGGTTCTAAAGCAGATGGTTATGCAAGGTTTCGTCCCGAAAATGGAGATGTGGAAAGCGATTTTACGCTGTATGTTAGCAGGAAATGAAGATTACAGTGAAGCCACTGGTAAAGTAATCGAAAAACTTATATGATGCAATGATGTTCATCTCGGTATAACTGAAAATCAAGCCGTTTGACGACTGATAAACTGAAACGAACACGAAATACAAGATCGAAGAATCGGGTAATGTTATGGACACAAGCTCAACACTTCCCTAACTTAGCTGCTGCTAATACTGAAGAGCAAATGAGTTGAAAGTTTCTTACCTAAAGAGGATGAAGGGCGCAGCGCATCAGGCAGAAAATTCTCACTTGTTGCAGCTGAGGAGGCGCCACAGATGATGACAATAATGGAACCCGTGGAATCAAATACAAGAGACCACTGCACAAATAGCTTCTTAATTTCTATAAACATTGCATGTTTACGGGTGTAATAACATCTCTTTACAGGAATTCTGTTCACAAATTCTCAAACTTCTACACGTTTTTGACATCCTTTTACCTACACACTACCATTTTTCGACTGAAGTTCGAATCATTTGTCACCATTGATTCCATGTTTATTGTCCTTGTCGTCTTCGATCTTTTCCGATCGAAGCGCTGCAGTGCTCTTATCTGATGATTGATCACTGTACTCCACACTGTTACTTGAACCAGTGGGCACCACATTTTCCTTCTTAAAGGAATTGTTGTGAGGAGCTAAGGTTGTGTCTTCAGGGATAACTGGAATTCCTCTAATTGTCGTTGGGCTGCAAGCAGCTGGTGCGTCAGGTTCATCATCAGAAGACTCTGATGCTACTGCAGGATCTCTCTGTGAACCAATTTGGAATTTCCTTGACCCTTTGCGTGAAAATGCATATTTAATACTGCGAGCAGATTTCTCAGCCTGTCTGAAAATGCTCTTTGCCATGCCTTTCACATTTCCACCCTTTCCTGGACTCTCTATATCGCTACCATCGTTGCTCGACTTCCCTTCTTTTGATACTTTATCCGAACTAGTCCCGGAAATGTTATCTACAAGAATAACCTTGACGCCTCCATCGACATTTGTCGCCCTGACATTTGCGTACTGGGGGGATCTAGCAGACTCTACTAAGCTTCCTGATCGATCCTCATCCCGAGGACTCCGGTGAAAAACTGAACTCAGCTTTCTCAATCCCCTGCGAACTGATAACTTTCGATGTTTTTCCTCAGGATTATCATCAGTACTGCTAGAATCATTGTTACAGGATTTTATCTCACCACTGCTCATAGATTCATTAGGCTCCCTACGGATTTCGGTATCAAGCTGCCGACTTCGTCCCTTCCGGGGCTCCCAAGTTTTTGAAACTTCGCTTCCTGGACGGTGGACCCATATTCCTGTCTCCTTCTGCCCTTCAACGTTGATGGGCTCAAAATTGTCGATCCCTCTTCGAGGCTCCACTGATACTGATGAGTTTGAATCCTTACCGTTCTTGGTCTCGCTCCTAGGGGAATCCTTATCATCCTTGGTAGTCTCACTCCCAGGGGAATCCTTATGAGGCTCTTCCACATTCAAGGTTTCTCTTTGAAATGGATACTCCTCCACCTAAAGTAGTATTACAAATCAATAAAAGAAAGCAACATTTTCCAATAAAACCAAATTTGAAAGAGACGAGAGAAAATGAAACATGGAAGGGAAGGGAAGGGAAGGGAAGAGATAGAACCTTCTTTCTATCTTCAAAAACAGTGATTCCCAGATGCAATCGCCCCATTTTAATGTTTTCGAGAGGCAACCATATATCATGTCGTTTGCCATCCCTCAGGTCCGCAATGTTGACAGAGCAATTTCTGCAAAGAGAATATTAGATCTCGTTTAAGCTATGGTGTCGAGATCAAATTTTACAACGAATCGAATATATCATAGAAGTTACAAATTTGAAGACGAACCCAAGTATGTCGTCGACAAATGTGTCCTTGTCACGGACTTCAATAGCAAGCACATTTTCTGACTCCCAGGTGACAATTGGGATCTTGAACTCCTCGTGCCACTGTGGAGACAGTGTTTTCCTTTGAATTTTGGTTCTGAATCTGTAAGGACCCAGTTGACCCTTTACATAGGGATCAGCCAGACCTGAAAGAAAGCTTCAATTGTAAGCCAAATTCACAAGTCATGTAAGAAAATCATGAGGGGAAGAATGACTTGGAAGCACCGAACCATTTAGATCAGATGGTTTCATGTTTGCTCCTTCAACAACTTCGACTATGACGTAGGCGACTGGTTCCTTCACGTTTACAGAGAACCAATTTTCTGGAAATATAAGGTCATGGACAAGTAGAAAGATCCATCAACATCAAAAAAAAATATGTAGTCACTTGAGAACGTTTTGTTTTCGAAAGCTAACAAATATCATGTATAATAAGATTATGCATATTGAGAACGGAACTTAACCATCTTCGTAGAAATTCTTCAAACAAATTACATACGGCCCCTACCTCTGTATACAGAAATTTTTGAGAACCATAAAAGCTTAGTTAGAACATATTTCTCACTCTAACAATCCAAGCCCACCGCCAGTAGATATTGTTCTCTTTGGGCATTTCCTTTAACGGCTTCTCCTCAAGGCTTTAAAGTGCATCTAATAGGGAGAGGTTTCTACACCTATATAAGGAATGTTTCGTTTCCCTCTCCAACCGAGGTGGAATGGGATCTCACACCCTCAATGACAACAGATTATTGGCCGGTGATCAACGTTCAATACTGCAATCAATTATCAATATGAATCGTTGCAAGCTAGCTATGTAAACCACGTGACATCCGCATCAAAGCGTTCAACCATTTCAGAAAAGGAGAATTACGCGAAGTATCCTCATCGCAGCACAAGGCTGTAACTTTTTTTAAGCACTCTGCTTGACATGATAATAAGAAAAAACTAAAATAAGCATGAAGGCATGTGCAGAGATAGCATTGTTTCTATTCGATAGGTTGTGATTGACTATTCTTCAAAAAATGAAGTACCTGGCTGTGGTGAAATGAACTTCTCCATGTCAACAACCAACATATTGGGCTGAAAAGATTAAGAAAATTCAAAACTTAGGTAAATATTGTTGAAAAACATCTGTAGTAACATTAAATCTTAACATAAGTGTACACAATTTTCTTTATTACAAAATGAACGAAATGAACAAAGTAAGACTAAAGGTGGCATCAAGAATCAAAAACTAGAACTTAACCTCAACAAGTGTCTGCTCAAAGGCAATGGACAAAAGCTTATCCTGAAAAAACGAAACCAAAAAAGACAAACGACAGTACTTAGCTCGAGAATAAGAAGATGCAAGCAGTAAAGCATAGTTTAGCCAGCATGAAGAGAATCCAAGGGAAAAGAAAGAAGAAGTACAATACCAGCCATCCAGCAATCCCCGGAAGTTCAGTAACATCAAGACCATGCGTAAAGATAGGTTTGACGGTCATCTGAAAGTACGGAGGCTCAGCAAAACATAAGCGTATTCGGCCGAGGTAGGGCCAATCCCGAAGGAACTTGACACCAACCAGAACCTTGAGAGGGAACATGAAGTGTGATTATTAGAAGGAACATGCAAATAACGCAAATCAATATGAAAAAGAACAGAATTCTTAGAAGGAAAGAACACAATTATACAGACATGGCAACCGAAAAAAGAAATCAGCATTTGAACGCTTCTACTTTTCGACTCACAAATAGCATCCCGAACTACACCATTACAGGCATCACAACAATGTGTACCTTTCCTTCCACATGCAGGCCTGTAAGATGCAACTTTGCCCACATTCCAAATCCTAGTCTTTTCCTTAGCTTCACACCAAGTATTGCACTCATATCATCAGCTGTAAGAAAGTTCATTCCTAACTCCAGAACCTGTGATTAATTCCTTCCAATCTGATTAAACTCAAAACTGAAAAAGACAATATATGCACGTGCGTGTGTGTAACGTGCAATTATGTGTATGAAATGCCTACCAAGTGGTCGTCCTCGCTAGGCTCACGAAGCACCCTCATTTCAGTAAACATAGGTGGGTTTCTCCCCAAATATAGATGCTGAACCACAGCCTTCTTCTGCAATCATACACTCGTCATCAAAAATCTGTACCAACGTAAAATTATGATCACCAAGCAATGAGAAGAAATCATGTCCTGGTATATTCTCGCAACTCTCAAGTTTTCTGAATGCATCCATGGAGGTTTGATATTGTAAACACACTGAATTGCTCAAATTCACTGTATCGATCAAATAAACAGGTATATAAAGTAACAGATTGGGATCATACAGCAGTCCATGGTTTGTACTTCTCCAAGAACCAAGGAATGATAGGGAGGAGAATCTTCTGAGAAGCAATATGCTCCATGCATATAGGCCAAATCTTTTCAACCGCATGGTTTAACCACCTGACTGTTTCAGAATCCGTAAGAACCTGAAGTAGAAGAGAACTCACATTTGATTTAGATCAAAATGAAACAATTGGATTAAATGGATTAAAAAAGTGTAACTGCCTAAGCCCACCGCCAGCCGATATTGTCCTCTTTGAGCTTTCCCTCTTGGGCTACCTTTAAGGTTTTTAAAGGCATCTGCTAGGAAGAGGTTTCCACACAAGGGAGTTCCGTTCTCCACCCCAACCACAACCAATGTGGAATATCACAAAAAAAGAATGTGTGGATATCTCAATTTCTCAGTAAATAAATTTTTGTTTATGAGTTCTATCTAAGAAAAGGACAGAAATTATACCCTTCTCTGGTTAGCTTGCTTTCTCTCCTCGAATTGCAATTTCCTCCTTAGTTTCAAAAAGAACCGCTCGTGCACCTTTCAAGAAGAACACTAGAAGTTCATTAAGGAAAAGAGGAAGATTCAATCCCATAAGAAACTGAAGCTTCAGAGAATTATCCAGATTCCAAAGAATCTAAGAACAATTATCTGATGAAGAACAGACATGGTTAAAATTACCAGATAGAGATAGATGAGGGAGATGAAATATGCAGCAAGATGGCAGCAATTGAAGGCGGAAAGTAGCCAGAGAAGAAAGAGGACGAATCCCACATGAATCATAATCGAAACCTCCATTAGAATCAATCTTTCATCAAATCCCACTTAAAGATTCGAAGGAAAAGATGATCTTCCTTAACACTTCCTGTACCGACAAACAACATTCAATAGGATCAGGTTACCAAATCCACTTTCCTTTTTCTAAAATGGGCTCCACCAGATTCAAAAGCAGAACAAAATAATAATAATAATAATCAATTCCTTAAGGAAAGCCAGAAGATTAAAGTAAAAAGGATCGATGATTTGTAACATTTCTAATCCAAATTAGAACAAAAATGAAAGCGCAAATCCATACTTACACTAAAAATCGGCAATAAGAACCAAATCGCCGCATGGAAACCTCTTCAATAAGAACAAACGAATCGAATCCCAAACATTAAGTGACAGGACAGGTTCTGAAATCTTCTATTCAACATTCCTCTCGACAGTGAAAACGGTGCCGTAGAGGCGAAGAAACCGTCGATTGGAGATAAGGAATTGGAGCAGTTGAAAGTTGAGAGTAAGTTACTAAGTTTCAGCTTGAATCTTCAAGCAACGTGTCCGATACGTGTCGGCATCGGAAGAGAAGACAAATATAACGATTTCAAGCTGCAGCAGAACTAACCTGGATCTTCTTCCTCCCTAATTGAATCAAAAAACTCTCACAGATTGCTCCATTAAAGCATTTTTCTGGGATTGAAATAAGCCCTTTGAAGAAGAACATACAAAGCAACTCAAGATCTATCGCATAATCCAAATATTTCTGTGTGGGGAGAAAGAATTGATTTAAACGTAATTCAATGAATCGAATAAGAGAATAAACAATGAAATCGATAATTTTCAACTAAAAAAACAAAATGGAATTTAAGAAACGGATTAAATTCGACTCGGGCTTCGAGGGATTGAAATTCTGAAATGGGAGAAGGAACAACAGAGTCAATTCTATGAATTGAAAATAGTTGCAGTTGAAACAGTTTATTAGAAAAATAAATGGCATTTGTCCTCTTCCCCATTTGTGACATTGACTTAAAAATAAATTCATTTAAATTTTAGATAATTTATAGACGCTCGCTCGAGTAAAAAAAATGTACATAATGATACAGCCATCCCAACGATACAATGACTGACAAAAATTTTAAAAATTGAAAGTTATGCCCGTACCACATTCGTGTTCCCATCAAAATTATTAATATATATATATATATATATATATATATTTTTCTGGGTGTAATTTCTCTTGACTGTATATTGATCGGGATTTAATTTGCAGTTATACTCACAAAGCCACCGACGTGTAAGATCCCATATGAGTAATTTCTCTCAACTACATATCAATCGGGATCTAATTTGCAGTAAGATTCACGAAGCCACAGAGACACTGTAAGATCCCATATGAGTAATTTCTCTCAACTACATATTGAACGGGCATCTAATTTGCAGTTATACTCACAAAGCCACAGAGACACTGTAAGATCCCATATAAGTAATTTCTCTCAACTACATATTGATCGGGATTTAATTTGCAGTTATACTCACAAAGCCACAAAGACAGTATAAGATCCCATATAAGAACGAAACATTTCTTATAAGAGTGTGAAAATCTCTCCTGAACGTAGTGGGTCAAAACGGAAGGACAATATCTTCTAACGATGGACTTGGGCTATTACCGTTCTTTTAGACTTTCAATCTCAAAAGAAATAGCACCCGTCAATTACGATTATATCATGTTCGTGTTAAGATTCGAATCTCGTTAACATATAAATTTATATTTTAAATTTGGAGGATACAAATGAGCTCTTTCTAAAGTCTAGGCGTATAATATGGAATTAGAAAGAATAAAGAAAAGATATTATTCCATTGGAAACCAATGAGAAGGCAACCTAATATAAGTCAAAACCCAACCAATAATCCATATTTCATATCTCAAGTCACGCATCTCAGGAGGGATGGAGTGTCGGCCAATCAGCGGCCAAGCTTAAGCCAGCTCATTTCATATTTTTATTATAATTTTAATTTCATTATAAAGTTAACATAATAATAATTGAGTTTTTAAAAAATTTAATTATGACCTTACACTTTTAATTATTGAAGTACCCTAAAGTTTTTTTATTTCAAAAAAAAAAAAAAAAACTATTTCAAACTAATTACCCTTCCACTTAAAAAAAAATATTTCAATTTTTTATTAAAATTTTTTAAATAAAAGTTTAAGAGAAATAGGGTTAATTTTGGAAATTTATGAGTATTTTTTTTTATTATTTTTTATTTTAAAGGTATTTTTGAATTTTATATAAAAGTTCGTATTAATAAAACTTTCAAAAGTATTTCTAACTTTTTTTTTTTTTAATTTAAGAGTTAAATAAAATATTACCTGTTTTTTTTAGTTCGAGGATATTATTAAAACTTTTGAAAATATAGAGATTTTTTTTTTTAAATCAGCTCGAGGTCTTTCGATGATAAGATCAATCATTCAGAGTAGGTAGATACAATTTATGATGATGGGACTATTGGTTTTGTTTGCTTGTTTTAAAAATATATATCTTTTTTTTACATATTTATAATTTGATGAAAAGGATCACGAACAAAAATCATTCTTAAAATAAGTAATATTTATTAAGTAGAACTACATTAAATATATATATTATATATATAACACTCAAGTTAAAAAAAAAAAAATAGGAATAGACTGAGACTAATTACGAAGAAAAGACTTAAAAAATTAAATGAGATACAATATATTGCATGCTTTACTTAGAGCAATTCTATGTTTGATGTAAGGCGATTCTATGAAAAAGGCAGAATATATTTGACAGAATATTCTATGTTTTAATCAAAGGACTTGATCTTTTACCTCGAGCAATTCTATTTATTTATTCTATTTATTTATTGTGGAAGTTTAAAAATATGCAATTAAATCAATAAAATAAAGAGAAAATCAATGATTTAGATTTAGGTGATCGGCACGTTAAGCATTATTTTCCACGACATTCACATAATAGAAACTTTCTTGGTAAATTTTAAATTATAGGACAATTAATATGTAATAAATTCATACCACTATAGTATTTTTATAAACCATACGAATATTTATTTTATGTATCATATAAACTATGCTAAACTGGTCCCTACAAGCTTTAAATATAAGTCACTTAGTACTAAAATTTAAAGATTAAATCATTTTTTTAATAATCTCTCGAACGACAATTTATGTCTAGATTAATTGAACCGATGTTTTTTAGCTTAACAATATGCAATAATATAAATTTGCAACTTTTCATCTAATGTTTTATTTTATTTTTATTTTTTTAAAAAAAGTTTAATAAATATAAAGGTGGAAATCTATGATACAGGAGTAAATGAGAGGTACATGAATGAACTAAAACTATATACGAGGGTAAAATGACTGAGAAAGACTTAGGGAATAAAAGTTAATACTTATACTAACAACGTGCATCTTACTTTTTCGTGGCTCAATAACTTCATAGTTAAGCGTGTTTTACCTAAAATAATTCTATATTGGATGACCTCTTAAGAATTTTTTCGAAAAAATATGTTAAAAGACTGTGTGTGATCTGTGTGGATAGTTAACATGACTATGTATGTGAAGAATGTTGGGACTGTTAAACGAACACGACTCTCCACAATGGTATGATATTGTCCATTTTGAACATAAGCTCTCGTGACTTTGTTTTGAGCTTCCCAAAAGGCTCAACCAATGAAGTTAGTATTCTCACTCTATAAACCCATGATCATTCTCTAAATTAGCAGACGTGGGACTTTCATCATTCAACAGTGACCACTGGCTGATGAAAGTGGTGTGAGACGTTTGGGTGAAATCTAGAGTAAAGACATGAGAGCTCATGCTCAAAGTGGACAATATCATAGAGTCATTCACTTTGATAATAAAAATAAAAATAAATAAATATAAGTCGTGTTAGTACGTATTTAAGTGGGACACCTGTTGATTAAGTATATGCGTGGGCATCGTGTACAAGCACTCTGTTCTTTGGGCGAAAGCAAAACCGGGAGCACCGAGCGCGGGGCGGATGAGGCAAAGCTTGCGAAATCGCTACCTGACGAATTTTCCATTCCATATCCATTGATGAAGATTCCATCCTGTTTCTCATTTTCTATAAACAATTTACTAAATTAGTATTATCCTTCGCCACGTTCCAATCCAGTTTTCAGTAGAAAACAAAGCGCGATGCAAAGCCTTCGATTCTTACGAATTCCTCTGTTTTCTCCTCCCAATGCTTTGTTCTTCGTCTCTCAACCTCCTCATCTTCTCCCTGTGAAATCCATTTCCAGAATTTCCACCAAGAATTTCAGTTCCCAGATGGAGTTATCGTTATCGTCTTCCTCATCTAAGCTCTTGTTCCGTCAATTGTTCGAGAAGGACTCTTCTACTTACACTTATCTTCTTGCTGATGTTTCTCACCCTGATAAACCAGCGCTTGTAATTTCCTTCTCTAATCTCTCTTTTCTGTATGACTGTTTGGATTTAATTTGAAATTTGATTGTTCTTTGATGAAATGTGTAATGGATTTAGTTTCTGATGTGTTTTTTTAGTTGGTCCAAAGCATCAATCGGTTTTTCGATTCTCCTGTGATTTATTGAATTTTCTCTGCCTTCAGTTGATTGATCCGGTTGACAAGACTGTTGATAGGGATCTAAACCTTGTACGAGAACTTGGATTGAAGCTTGTTTACGCTATGAATACTCATGTTCATGCTGATCATGTCACTGGGACTGGACTCATCAAGGTTTTCTTCTCCATCATCATTTTTGTTTTTTTCAGTGTCCGACTTTGTTGCTATTGTTATATTTGATGCGATCATTTCCTTCAGAGTAAATTTCCAGGAGCGAAATCTGTAATCTCGAGAGCAAGCGGTTCAAAAGCCGATGTGTTCATTGAACCTGGCGATAGAATTCCTTTTGGTGATCTATTCCTGGAGGTACCATTACCTGTATTTAACACTACAAAACAAAGATACTCATAGGACTTAGTTATGATTCCATCATTTTTCAAGACATCATTGCCATCACATAGGTCTGGTGAAAATTCATCAACAAAACATATCTGCTCACGTATTTGTATTGATTTCTAACTTCGATAAGCTCACTCACGGTAACAGTTCAAGTCCACCGCTAGCAAATATATTGTTCGCTTTAACCTGTTACGTATCGCTATTCGCCTCACATTTTTAAAACGTGTTTGCTAATGAGGGGTTTCCACACCCTTATAGGGAATGTTTCGTTTTCCTCTCACACCAATGTGGATCTAACAATTGGTTGGAGAGAGGAACAAAGCATTCTATACTGAGTGTGGAAACCTCTCCTTACAGACGCATTTTAAAACTGAGTGTGGAAACCTCTCCTTACAAACGCATTTTAAAACTGTGAGGCTAATGACCATACATAACAGGTCAAAGCAAACCATATACCTGCTAGCGATACTTAACGTTCTCTCATATTGATCATTTAATTTGATTCTTGACATATTATATGGGTAACTAGGTTAGTTGATTCTGGTCACGACCTATGTATATCTTACCACGGCTACTGCCAGACAATGGCAGAATTGGGGATGCTTTCTAGTTTCAGGCTTCAGAAATTAATACTTCTTCATGCTATGACAATGTTCATGAGCTCTTAAAGAGTGTTCAAACACTGATTCATTTCCTCTTTAGCGTTTCGATATGAAAACAATCTGCGTGAACATTTACTTTTGTGGAGCTTGAGGATGAAAAGTGCAACGCAGAAAGTTAGTCAATTTTTGTGCCAGGAGCTCTCCTTGACATATTTAGCCACCTTTATTATTCCATACTGCAGTTAGCCACTTTGTCTCCCTTTTGGTTGTGGCTCCACAGCATAGATATCCCCTCGGGTGGGTTCCTATCCTCTATTACTATCAATAATAGAGGATAGGACTCAGTTTAGTAGAGATTCTGTTTGCAATGGGAGGGAAATATGGAATGAATTTTTTTTCCTCCTCCTATGATATATTACAAGCTTT